AATAATTAAAATTCATTAATTTCTTTTATCAATCAGTTTCATGAATATTTTTGATGTAATGAATGGATTTGATAATGTAACAGAATGAATTTTAACTTTTATTTTTAATTAGATATGGAAAAATAAGTAGAAGATTTTTTAGGAAAGTACTGATGAAATTTTAAGAATAAATTAATTGAATTAAAAAGTTTATTGTTAATTAATTTTTTAAATTCTACCAGTAATAAGGCCAAAATTTCCTTTTTATATCTGATAATTGATAAAAGTTGCAACTTCTAAAACTTGTGAGGGATTAATTATTAAGATTATGATTTTAAAATTGATTTTATATTAATTAATTTTGAAAAATCTAAATTTATACTGTTAATTTATTTAAAATTATTATTTATCATAATTTTGGCAATAAAGGCTTATTTTTATTAATTCCTTAAGTATATTTAATCATGTGAATTTTTGTGTTCCAGCTTAGAATAAAAAAAATGAATACTCAAGAAAATTATCATCAGGTTCAATCCAATCCCCATTCTTTAAGCCTTTTTCATTATAGTTTCCTCCACCCCTATTATATTCAAGAATCATTTACAGAACATGCCCTTAATATAAAATAAACCATCTCCCTTACTTTTTACCATTCTAAAACTCGCCAGCATATGTTAATTGGCAATATCTAATGAATTATTATTTAAAAAAAACTTTTAAAAGTTATCTTGAATTTCTATTGTTTTTCCATTTTTAAGCCCAAGTTCATTTTGTGAGCCACCTCCTCTTAAATAATTAATTAAGTTTTACATAACATGGCCTTTATATAATATATACCAATTGTCAATCTTTCTTCCGTTCATATAATTCCCACTATAAGTTATTTAACTGAATCTATTTTCAATATATTGATACATACATTTAGTAATTATCATCTAAATCTGTCCAATTGCCATGTTTAAAGCCCATTTCATTATAAGATCCTCCTCCTCTGATATAAATATGTTATTATATACACTGCTTTATTTGATTAGAATCCTTTCCAATTCCCAATTTTTTGACCTTTCAAATAAGATCCTTCATAAATAATTTCTTTTAAACTAAATTATAATTAAAATTAAACTTTGAAAAATTGTTAATCGGTTCTATCCATTTTCCTTCTTTAGAGTGACTTTCATCATAATTACCTCTGCCTCTAATATAATTTAAATTATATTAACATAAATAGTCCTTTGTTAAATACTTCCCATTTTCCTTATTTTAAACCATTTTGATAGAATCCTGTTCTAGTCATTTAATTTGAACTATTTAATTTAAATGATCTTTATTAACTTATAATAATTATCATCTAAATCTAACCATTTACCACATTTTTAGCCAAATAAATTATATTCTCCATAACCACTATTTGTGAATCTAATTTCTTACATTATTGCTTTAAAACGAATAGCTTCCCATTTTCCATATTTCATACCTTCCTTATATTCACCAACATAAGTCACTTATTTAATACTATTTTCATAATAATAAAATAGAACTACTTGCAAAAATTATCATCCAGATCTTCCCATTTACCAATCTTTAATCCTTTTTCATCATATTAACCACCACCTCTTATAATTGTAATATATATTCATACATTATATTTCCAAATCTTAATGTATTCCATTATCCATATTTTTTTCCATTTTAATATTCTCCTATATGAATAACTTATTTATAACTAATTAATATTTTAACTAAAATACGTTCTAAATTATTCATCTAACTCAATCCATTTTCCTACCTTTAAACCATTTTCATTATATTAACCTTCTCCACTAAGCATAATAATATAAATACATTTTCTCTCCTTTGTATGTAGTAATCCATAATCCTTATTTTTTTCCTTTGCAATAAATACCTTTTTATTAAATATCAATTTATCTAATAGTATTAATAAATTTAACTAGTTAAAATTATTATGTAAAACTATCCATTCTCCATTTTTTAATCCTTCTTCATTATAACAACCTCCCCCACTTATAAAATGCTAAATAATTAATACATTTCTATTCCTTAATACACATAATTCCATTAATATAATCTAATCCCATTTATATATGTTCCAACTTCAATCATTAAATTTCCTCTTTAATTTTTATGTTAAATTTACTTATTATAATTCTTATTCACTTCTATCCATTTCCCATTTTTCATCCCATAATCATCAAAATTACCACCTCCACTTAGATTATAAAACTCTTTGATACATAATCTTGCCATTTTATATTGTATGCCATTTTCCTTTTTTTACTCCATTTTCATATACTCCAACGTATGTTATATTATTGTAATTACTAGGATTATTACCTAAAAATATACTCGCAAAAAAATTCGTTTATATCAATCCATTCACCATTCTAAAGCCCATTTTAATCATAATATCCTCCTCCACTAATATTTTTATTAATATTAATACATAATTTCTCCTTTAAATATGGTATTCCATTAACCTTATTTGATGTTATTTTTATAATCGCCTTAAAAGCTAATTTAATTCCAGCTTTAAATATTAGATAAAATAAAACTAATTGAAATTTAGATGTAAATCAATCCATTTTCCATGTTTTTATTCTTACTAATTATAAAATCCTCCACCACTTAAAAATTATGAATATGTCTACATTATTTGCCCAAAATACATAGTTTCCCAGGTACCCTACTTTTTTCCATTTTAATAATTTCCAATATGAAAAACTTGGCAAAAACTATTTTAATATTAAGAATAAAACTACGTGCAATAATTTTCATCTAACTCAATCCATATTCCTATCTTTTTTTATTCTTATTCATCATAACATCCTCCTGCAATTAATTTTTCTCCTTTCCAAAACGCATTCCATTTTCCTACTCTTTAATTACTTTTTCCATAATTTCCTTCCCAATTCAAATATTTAATTTATTCAAGATTTACTATTTTTTGTTATTAATACTACTACTCCTTCTAGAGGGATTACTATCTATAAATAAAATTAAATATTTATACTTTCTAATAATTACTCCATTGTATTAGTAAGTCAAATTCCCATTTTTTTATTATTTCATTTAATATTCAACACTCTAAAACAATTATTTATATTTATAAGGATCATAGTGTACTAACTTACCTTACAATTCCAAATTCCATTCTTCCAAAATTACATCCTCAGAGCCTAACAATTTCTTTTCTTAAACTTGAGGTTGTTATTTTTTTCTATCAAATACCCATGACCATGCTTATTTCATTGAATTTCAGATAATTTGAAAATAAATTACTTTGAATTTAACATTATTAGAATTCATAAATAATATACTCGTAAATAAAAACTAATTTTAATTACTATTAATATATGAAATTTATAGAGATTTCTATTATAATTTATTTAAAGATTTATTTCTATAAAGATTATTCATATAAATCTAGAGTTTAAAAAGGTACTGAGAAATGTTTTAATAAGGAAATAATTTAATTCAAAGT